GATTGGTGATAGGTGACTTGGTCATAGTTCACAGGACAATAGGTCACATGGCACCAGGGCAATAGGTCACATGAGAATTGGTCACGTGGTATCAAGACAATAGGTCATAGGAGAATAAGTCACATGGTACTATGTCACATGGTCACAGGTTCACAAGACAATAGGTCACATGGTACCAAGACAATTGGTCACAGGTCAGAGGAGAATAGGTCACATGGTACTATTTCACATTGTCACAGGTCACATGATCTGATGTATTTTATTGTTATGCAGTTGTCGTTTATGTACAAAATGGAAGACATTCAGTTCTCTCCTAAGATAAATACCAAGTGTTACCCGTCAGAGACAATAAAAAAACTGAAAGACTTGTTAAGCCCTGAAGAATGGAGGTATTTCAGTCATGAGTCGCAGTTTCAGCATTTGTTTCATATGCAATTTGATGGCACGCTGAAAATGGCTCCAGCAGCATTCCTGATAAACCATTGTGTCAATGTGAAGGATGAAAAGGAATTATGGTTTGTTCTAAATGGTGTGCCCATTAGATACTCCATCGTTGAACACGCTCTCATATCCGGATTGAAATGCGGTGAGTATCCGGCTGGATGGGAATATATGAGGAAAAGTCAGTTTAGAGTGAAGACTTTTGGAAATCGAAAGGTATCTAAGGAGAGTGTGATAAGACATCTCGAGAAGACGCCAACTCAAAGGGCTGCTGATAGGAAGAAACTAGCTGTTATCATGTTGCTCGGTGGAATACTGGATCATGGCACCACAGATGAGTTTATAAACCATGATTTGGTGGATATGGTGGATGATTTGGCTTTCTGTGAGAGATTTCCATGGGACGCTACACATTTGATAGAATGATTGATCAAGTAAGAAAGAGTTTCGGAAGTGGAGGACCGAAGAAGAAATGACACTGTCGTGGGTTTATAATCCCTCTTATGGTAAGGGTTTTTCACTATGTGTATAAATGAAAAGTACCGTTATTACATTGATTTGTTTTGGAATTTAATATTTACACAATATGGTACAGTTGCTTCCTTTCGAATGCATATCAAATTTGGGTGCCAACGGGATGTACAAAGACGTCGAGAGAGCGGATCCGACGTATCCCAGAATGTGCAAGAAGTCTGTCAAAGCAAATGTTAGATGGAGTTTCAAGACTGTTATAGACCAGATTGGCGCTAAAGCAAAGGTACACAGAAAATAGGACATGGTGTGTTGGTCACAGGTTTCATGGTCACATGGTACCATGTAACTCGGTCATATGGTACCATAACCTATTTGGTCACATGGTACTATTTAACTCGGTCACATGGTACCATAACCTATTTGGTCACATGGTACTATTTCACTGTCACATGATACATATGGTAACAATAAGTCTCATCTATTTTTCAGGGAATTAAGAGCATTCTTAAGAAGGAAGCGACAGAAGAAGCTCTTCTTTTTTATCTAGAGGATCTCGATGGAAGTGAAGATCCAACGGTTAAAATATGGATGCAATATCTTGAGAGGAATCCGGAGAGCATATACTGGAAAAAAA